TCTATGGTGAGATGTTTTGTTTTTATAATACAACAAAACTATAAAGATGCCCTAGAGTATTGCTTGCTTATAAATTGTATATGCAAATTTCAGCTCACTGTCCTGGAATGATCTATCATTCCTACTGATACATGAGGAGTGGAAGCCCCAAACTTTATTCTCACCTGGTGTCCCATCTATCATATGTGTGCAGTCTGGGTCTTTTGACTCCCAAGTCATATGACCTTACCGGACCTTGAACTGTGCTGCCATGTTCCATGCTTTGCATTAGGAGACAGGAAACTGAATTCTAGTCTCTGCCCTGTCACTGGCTTGCTGGATGATTTGGGGTATCTCACTTTTCTCAGGGTCTCTCTTTCTTGGATTTTTGCCCTGCTGATTATAAGATGGCTTTCTTTGCTCTTCTCTCTTTTGACGGAGAGCTGTATCCAAAAGAGTTGATCAGGGGCACCTGGGTGGCTCAGTGGGTTAGAGTCTCTGCCTTGGGCTCAGATCATGATCTCAGGGTCCTGGGATCTAGCCCTGCATCGTGCTCTCTGCTCAGGAGGGAGCCTGCTTCCCCCTTTCTCTCTGCCTGCCTCTCTGCCTACTTGTGATCTCTGTCAAATAATAAAATCTTAAAAAAAAATTTAAAAAATTTTTAAAAAGAGTTGATCATCATGTCTAATATTGCTCCCTCTGGTCACTCCATCTTTTTCTCCCTGTTTTATTTTCTTGTTACTGTTTTCATTTTGTCATTATGTTATACCATTTTGTTGTGTTTATATTTCCACATTTTGTGATATAATTTTCAGGAATGACCTTGTTTATTTCTTTGCCTGTTTATTGCATGTTTGCTTATGTAGATAAAAGCTCTGTGAGATCATAACATAGCCTATCCTGGCTGATATGGCAACAAAAACCCAACTCAAATGGAAAGGATAATTTGTCTTGTGTAGCTTGAAGGGTTGGAGTAGCTCATAGAATTTAAAGAAGTAGAAATCAGGACTTCAGAAATGGCAAGTTCCACATTGTGTGAACACATACCTGTATGCACTTATTTCTTCTATCCCCCACCCCACCTCAGCATTTCTCATTACCGCATATCTTTGCTTTCATTCACCCTACATGTTTCATCCATTCAGAAGGGAAGAATTCTGCCAGAAGCCCTAAATTCACTTGTTTCAATTTAACATTTCCAGCAGTTTCATTGCCCCCATGTCAGAGGGCAGCCACTGGAAAAGATTCTAATTGGTTTTGCTTGGGCTATGTATGCTTCTTTGAACCAGTCACACTAGGAGTAGAATTGTCAGCGGTGCTTGCTCATGTGTGTGTATGTTGTTGGTTTTTTTTAATTGTTTGCATACATTCAATTTGGTGTTTCTGTGCAAAGACTTATTTAAATCATTGACCATTTTGCGGTGTTCAGTTTAGGTAGAACTGCATAGTAATAACCTGTACTCCACTTAACTTCCATATGTAAGTAGAGATACTCATATTTTCTACTTATGCTCCAATGAATAGTTTTGCTCTCCTCCTGTGTGCCATGTTGTTACATCCTTGAGTGTAGGAACAATAACTTCCTTCTTTTCTGTCCCTCCAATATTAGGAAGAAAGTGCTTCGTAGTTAGTAGCTACCCTCTGAATTTCTGACATCAGATTAAATGAGCTGCTTATTAACTAGCTGAATTTGTGGGCTTCTTCATTCATTACATGAGCTTTATTTGGTGAGGATATGATTAGTTTTCACTACTCTGAAAGCAGGAAAGACTAAAACTGTCTTTATTTTTAGTTTAAGAAATGCTATTCAGTAATGCTAGGGAAGAGAAAGAAATCATTGATCATTTCAATAAAGCCTCCTTCACATCATGAATTCAAGACTCTCTTATTGATATTTCCTTTAACTAATCGATTTTTACCTTGTACCTCATTTAATGATATGGATAGCTGTATCTGTGGTAGGTAGAAAAATTGCTCTCAGGATTGTTCTTCACTCAGATAAACTGCAGATCTTCCCCTTGACATTTCAGTTAAAGAAAAGCAGACTTGCAGGAATCCATCAGAGACTGTGTCTAGGCTAGTAAGCTTTAGGCCCTTACCAGCAGACCATGGTGTGTGATGTAGTACTCTCGCTTTCAACTGTAAATTTTTAGAAATACAGAATCTAGGGCCATAGCAAGACCCTCAGGGTCTGCAATTTAAGAAGTTTCTCAGGTGATTTGTAAGCATAAGTTTGAGGTGCACTGCTCCAGAGATAAGAATCAGATTTCTGGAAGGCTTGTAGGGCCTTGAAGGTTGGGCTTTGAATATAATTGATATCTTCAGGAAGCAGCTGTTTACCCTAGCGATGACAATGTTGGCAAATGGTGATGTCCTTCTACCGTGAGCTTGTGTGAGACATTACTAATTTGCTCAGGGGACTCTTTCTGCCAGACTTCAGGATGCTTGTCCACATTCTCTACCTAGTCTGGTAACTTTCATGGAGATGGAAAAGTTGGCCTGAGAGTTAAGATCTATTTATCAATCTCTCCTGAAGAGCAGTTGTTGTTTGCTAAGTAGTGTTCAACAAGCAAAATAGACCAAAGGGAAATCTGGATTATTGAATCTTGCAGGTATGGCTTTTGGATAATTTGTTGGCCAAATAATAAAGTCAAGGTCATGAGCTTGGACCTCAGCAAACCGGATAATCTCTTAATCCACTCCTTTTGGTCTTGCTCTGTCTCCTATCCATTTGTTCTTCCTCATGCTAAACTCATTTTGAATTCCTCTCACTAACCTTCATCTGTTCTTTCAAATTAATCTTTTCTTGGGGCTCCTGGGTGGCTCAGTGGGTTAAAGCCTCTGCCTTCGGCTTGGGTCATGATCTCAGGGTCCTGAGATCAAGCCCCACATCGGGCTCTCTGCTCAGCAGTGAACATGTTTCCTCCTCTTTCTGCCCGCCTCTCTGCCTACTTGTGATCTCTCTGTGTCAAATAAATAAATAAAATCTTTAAAAAAATTAATCTTTTCTTGATTTTTCTGATTGGGGTACTTGGGAGAAGGATCATTTTAGCTATAAGCCCCATCTCCCGGAGGCCCAAACTCTGTCACTGACTTGTATGAACACTGATTGTTCATATATTCACCCTTTTGAAACAAACTCAGACTGAATGCCTTATCAAGGTCATCTGCTTGCCCAAAATGTTACCCCCGATAATAGAAACTGGGAGGATGGTTTAGAGTCCACTTCCATTGCCTACTTGAACAGGCTTGACATTGTCACAGTTCCCCCATGGTTGCCAAAGATGTAGGATCTGAGTCAGCTTTTTGAGTTCTGTTCACGATTCCACTACTTCCTGGAGTGTGATGTGGGGCAAGTTAACACATCTCTCTTTTTTCAGTTTGTTCTTCTTTCTGTGAAGTGAAATAAATCTAGAGCCTAATTCCCAGGGTTGCTCTGGAGATTAATGAGAATTAGGTAAAATTTGGCACAGTACCTGGAGTATGCTGACCTTTTGCTAATTTCATTAGTGTCATAATCTTTGCGGGGATTCTAGCTGTGATGGAATAGGGGATTGGTCAGGGTCAACCAAAAACAATTGCAGGTACAACTTTCTTTTTAATATTATCCTCTTCCCTCCAGACTTAATTCTTTATTATTGTAAAATTATTTTTTTATATATAATTTTTTACATAATTCTTTATTATGTAAAATTATTCTCCTAAGACATATAAATCGCCAGTTTAGTCAGATCCAGGGTGTTTCCTCCCCCAAATTGTGCCACGTTTGATATAAACCAAAGTAATTTGAATAACTAACCAACATCCAAATACATCCGCATCAATCAGAACTCAGGCTTTATTATTGTGCAGTGAAAAAAACGAAAACTTAATTCCAAGCACATGTAATTAAAGTTTGCAGAGAAAGATGTTGTTCATAAAACATATTCAATATTTAAAGGAAAAAATGACACTTATTTGAAGAACAGAATATACTTAGAATTGTTGGCTTATAAAAAGCCCATTTCCCCAAGCCTAAGCTTTATAATTTCATATTAGGCAATGAAGTTATTTTATATGATCTAAAACTATTTAATGGAAATAGCATTTGACAGAGTAAAATGTTACATAGATGTATGACTCCCAAATAGTAGTATTTAAATCCAATGTTCAACCTCTGAAGGTAGATTGCCCCAATACACTTTAATATATGCTTGTTTAGACATACGTAAGTATATAAATGTAGAAAAGGAAACTGACATATAATATCAACCCTCAGTTTCATCTAGGAGGATTAGGATACTAAAGCCAGGAAAAAGTAGACATGTTTTTTCCCCTACTTTATTTTGCTGTACAGTCGCCTTAAGGTTACCCATTCAAGTCAGGAATTGTAATGTAATTCTAGGACTAGAAATTGACCAAATATGCTCCTTTATCATTTCCTTTCAGAACTTGTCTAAGCACTTTCAAAATCAGGGCATGTATATGGTGGAGGAAGCGGGTCATGAAGAAAACAAAGTGAAATCAGAACACTTCTGAGACATCTATGTTCTGATGTGGCAACAAGATGCAGCTCCCACCAGGGGATGCGGCAACTCAGAAAAGTTTATGGGCTAGCAAGGTGCCGGGACTGGGACGGAACAGACGGGGCATCAGACTGAGAGATTTCTGGATTTTATCACACCCAGACTCTCTGATTGAGAGAATTCTCATCAATCAAATGTATACTAAACTTTCAAGAGAAAATCGTCCAGGTAACTGTTGTGTTTTTAACATAGACCTCCTTTCTGTACAAGGGAAAGTGGGAAGGGTTTGATAGCCCATTTTGCAGAAGCCACATTAACAGAGTGCACATAGCTGGATCATTATTTTCTGATCTCGTAGACCCCATGGAGGGCAAAATCACAAGGAAATGTGGTAACAAAACTGGCTGACTCCTGTATTCCCATGGACACCACTGCCCGTGTGACAGTTCAGACTTAACTCTTGCAAACCATCAGCCTATAAACCGTGACTGATCTTGCAGTTTTGAGAAGGCCCTATTAAGGGATAATAAATTCGCATATGTACCTCTTGCTACTACGACAGACCTCATCACTCCATTTGCCCTGAGCTGACTGGGAGAACAGGGCACAGTTTTCTCGCTTACCACCATTGGGCTGTGCACGGTCCCAGTTGAGGAAGGAGATGGTGACTCCATGGACATCAACAAACTTTCCCTCTGTGACCATGTCATTGATGCCCAACCAAAAGTCGTTGACACCTGGCAGGCTTCTTTTACCGTAGTCTCGGAGGGCATTGATTTCGTCGGAGTTTCTGGGGATAACCAAGGTTCCTCCCTTGGAGATGCAGTCTTCATTGGCTTCATGGAAATGCTTCAAGCCTTCTGAAGCAAGGTAGCATTTCCTGTGAACTTTTGTGCCTCGGAGACAGACTGTAAAGATGTGAAATTTGATATAGTAAGATGCCTTTTGAGTGTTCCACATCCAGGATTGGACTTGAAAAATAGCAGTTAATATTTGTGGAATGAATGATGTGTCATCATAGTGATGAGTTAATATTTATGGAGATTTTGTATGTGTCAGACCCTGTGCCAAGCACTTTATGATGATGAACTCATGTAATAATCACAGAAATCACATGAAGTGAGATTTTATTACTCCCACCTGTCCATATCAGGATAGTGAGGCTTACAGAAATTGTTACTTGCCATGACTTAATGTATAAAAACATAACTTACATAACATATAAGATCATAACTATACAAACCCAGGTCTGTCTCACCCTTAAACCATTTTTTGGCCTCATGCTGCTCTGATATACACATGCTTGTTAGTTTGCACAGCTCTATTGTGTGCTGTTTCCTTGGAACTTTTGGAACTGGGTGGTAGTTCATAATTAGTTAACAAACAAACACAAACAAAAGTTTGAGTTGACATATAGAGCAACAGTAGTTTTGTTATCCAAATAATTCAGCCCTGGTAACTCTGTTCGGGTTATCCAGGATAAACCAAACATAAAGATAGTGTTAGGGCGAAGCATTGGAGAACCAGGATCTGACATTTGTTAGGTTTGTAATTGTTGGAGAAAATACTTAATTTTTCTGTGCCTCAGTTTCCTCGTCTGTAAAATGAGGATAATCATAATGGCACCTGTCTCATAAGTTGTTGGAGGACTAATGTGTTCATGTTTGTAGAGTATTTATAGTGCCAAACGGTGGGTAAAGCGTTAATAAAACTTTGTTGCCTTCTACATGGGCATTTGATCTTCCTTTAGCTTCTGAATTCTGTTCCTAGAAAGCTGATAAAGGGAATATGTCAACAGTATTACTAGGCAAAATTGTTTGTGGTAAAAACGACCTTGAACTGATAACATATAGCTGGTCTGGGAGTTATAAATCCTTAATGGAAGGCTGTAACTTTAGTCTTCCCTGAAAGTGGTAACTCATAATTGGACAGGTCTCTTGCAGGACCCATGAAGTTCTGCTTTTGGAGTTGCTATGTAAGGTATTGGATCCTGTGGGTGTAAGCCTTGTGGGCAAGGGCTGTTCTTGAACCCATTCAGTATAGCTCTATTTTCCTTACCCCTGGGATCCAAGGAGGGTCGCTCCTGGACAGCAGGTGTAGAGGGCATAGCTTGCTGGGAGCTCTACCCCTGTGTAAAGAGGAATGCCAAGTTGTGGTTCTAACCAGTGGCCTTCTGTTTGTATCTGGTGCACCACGTGGCCCGAGTGAGTCCTGTGATCCTGCGTTTAGCTGAACCTCAGCAGATCTCCCAGTAGGCACTTAGTAAACATCTAATGAATGCTAATTATTTTTGCCAACGAATATTTGCTTCAATTCTGTTTCTTTGCCTATTAGAGAAGAATTATGGACAAATTTTTTAAATGCATTGTTGAAATGTGTATTTGTATTTCTATACTATCCATATATAGGAGAAGGGAGTGAGAAATCAAGCTGATTTCCCCAAACAGTTGTCTCCCCAGCTTTTGAGTCCTTTCTCCTGGACACCTCTCTGGGTTGTCAATGTCTCTTTTAGAAGTGTCACCTAGAATTTGACATGTACCCTAGGTATGGTTTGAATTTCTGGCAAATCATGATTTCCTGTCTCTTTTGAGATGAAGCATTGATGAGTCGGGTCTTACCTGTCTGTAGGGCTTGCATTTCCTTCAGGGCATTGACTTCTCTCCAGAGCTTTTCAACTTGAGTCTTCAGGTCTCCATCCTTTTCTGGGGATATTTTAGGGTGGGGTAGGGTAGGAGGAATGAAAAGCATGATTAAAATAAGATAAAAATAAAATTAAAGCTTTGGAACCCAGAATCTAAGGCGAGGGTGGTTTTGATGAAACTGAGCCAAGTGTACATGAGAATTAATGCGTGAAAATAAGTTGGCCATGAAGGTTCATAAGAGCTTGGTTGTGGTAATAATACTAGATGATCCTTCTGTGAAAGAGGGCTGCTATGCCTCTCCCCCATCCTGTGGGACTCTCCCTCCATCAGACGTCAGACTTACTGACTTTTAGAGCATCTTAGACCAAGTTATGTCATCTCAGGATCCATTCCTTTGGGTTCCTCCTGCCTGGAACAAACATTCTTGCTCCAGCACTTGTCCGTCTCCTCACTGAGCTGAAGTATCTTTTCTAGAAGCCTTTTCTGGTTATCATCTCTATACTAGCATCTGTCTGAGTAATCTCTTTTCTTTGAACCTTTACTTTTCTTCAGAGCACTTTTCTCTGTAATTATTTTTACTTACTTAATTTTGGGTGTCTTACTGTCCATGGTGCTCCTGATGCTTAACACAGTGCTTGGCACATAATTGCTGTTCATAATGTTTGTTGAATGAATGAACAAGATTCTAGGACTGATGGGGTCTGTCTTAAATAGACAGTTTGAACTCTTTGGAGGCAAAATTATAATAAATTGTAATAAATAACAAAAAGAAAAAATACTAAGAACCATCATACACTGTGTACCAGGCGCTTAATTCTTTCAGTATTCCTGTGAAATAGACACTGTTACTGTCCTCAGTTCACAGAAGAAATAGAGGCACAGGAATGAACCTGCTTTAGGCCAGCTAGCGAATAAGGTGCAGTCAGGATTTGAATCTGTCTTACTCCAAGTCTGTGCTCTTCACATCCTTCTGATCTGCTCCTGCACAGTAATTGCCTGATCCCTAGCACATGGCCTTGGACTGAGAAGATGTTTAAAGCTTGGTATGAACTGTCACCACCTGCCTCCTTACACAGATACCATGTGAGGAATCTGTGTTCTATCCTGGATTTTTCAGGATAATCCTAAATCCACACATGCTGATTCGTCATCCTCTTAAACATAAGCTTTGCAAGCCAGGTGTTTCCACATTGAGTTAGGAAAGCCTTCTGGGTTCGCAGGAGTGGAACCCATCTGTGTTTCATGTGATATTGCACATCATTTCTGAAAGCATCCAGTAGCTCAGCTCAGAAATACAGTACCCCCAAGAATTTCCTCAAAGAGATCATTCAATCCAGAATAAATGTAAGGGTACATTCAGAATGCAGAACCACCAACTGTTGGAGGCCAGGCTCACCAAGACCACTGAAGACTTTCTTCCAAGTTTCAAGTTGTCAGCCATACAAATGTCATCCCCTTTCTTTCTCAGCTTCCCACTCCATTCCATAGAAATATGTGGCCTCTACAGGGAGGCTGGAACGTTGTAATTAGCATGAAGACATGAATAGTATTAGGCTCCTGGGAGATCATTATGGGAATCATTATCCAGGTGACTTGGCTTCTCCTTCTAACCTTTGTGACAAATGTGGACGTGTTTTGTCTACAATGAATACAGTGACTAACTATTTCAATGTAAAATTGAATTTTATTTGTTTCTGCAACATATAATTTATTGAGACCTATGAATTAAATACCAGGGAAATTTTGTTTTTTAGTTAAGTAAGTCCCTTGTTTGCCATTTTGAGTAGAACAAAAACAACAACAAAAACTCCCTCTCATTTTATTATTGTTTTTCTCCAGAAGTAGCTTCTGTGTAGAAATGCAGAATTAATTCTGGAAAATCACCAGTAAACCCATGGAATATATATATACCTCCACCTCATGAACAACCAAAGAAATGTCAACCTTCTTAACAATCAAAGAAATCCAAATTAAAAGAGAGGCTTTTTTTTTTTTTTTTTTTTGGTGTGGTTGACTGAGCTTAAGCTGTGATATAATGTTAAGTTGTCAAGGTGTGTGGGAATGGCCATATACTGACGATGGGAGCAGTGTAGGTTGACGCTATTATTTTGGGAGACAGTTGGAAAGTGTAATGAAGCTGCAGTTTTCTAGAGGAGTAACTTAACTGAGGCAGTGAATCAAAAACAAAATAGATGGGAAGCCACACAGAAGTTCACCAGGAGGGGCACCTGGGTGGCTCAGTGGTTAAAGCCTCTGCCTTTGGCTCAGGTCATGATCTCAGGGTCCTGGTATCGAGCCCTGCATCAGGCTCCTGCTCAGCGGGGAGCCTACTTCCCCACTCTCTCTCTCTGCCTGCCTCTCTGCCGACTTGTGATCTTTGTCTGTCAAATAAATAAATAAAATCTTTAAAAAAAAAAAAAAAGAAGTTCACCAGGAGGCAACAGATGACATGAATCCTGACCCCTCTGTGCAGTGGAATATTATGCAGCCTCTAGAAGGACCTATGCATCCCTTATGTTGATAGTTATCCAAGATTTGGTAGATGAAATAAATTAATAGCCAGTCCTTATTTGGCTAAAAATAGAAGATTTTAATTCTGCATTAGAACAACTCTGGGAATGTTATTTCCCAATAAGTAATAGTGGGTAATTCTGCGAAGAGGTTTGAGAGAGAAAAAAAACAGCCTTCACTTTTGATTTCATAAAGTTGGGTATAATCCCCAGGTACTTAAAATGTTTTCAAATTGTATGTGTTAGTGGAGAGAGAAGTGTTTGGTAAGTTTAGGCTTACTGCTTCACTTACTGCTGTAGAGTCTGCTTTCTTGGACTTCATAGCAAAAACTCACAAAAATTCCTTTGGGAGGATGATGCTGAAGAGCTGTGCACAGTCAGTTAAAAGGCAAGCAAGAAAAAGCATGTGTGCACACTTGCGTGTGGTTAGGGATGGGGTGAGGGGAGAGCTACATGACCTGAACCAAATGATCTCAGAAACATCTCCACAGCACATCCACGCATCCACATGTTCACACCCTTCCCCACATCCCTGCTGGGTGGTCGCTGCTTTGCCACTGCTTCCCAGCAGTGAAGAGATGCTGGCACCAAAAATACACCCTGTCATCACACAGTATCTCCTACCTCCCTCTTTCCCTGCCCTCATCTTCACCGGTACACTTTATCACTCCTGAGAAGTATTTTAATCTTCCATTTAAAAGAAGTAACAGGAAAGTCTAATATTGTATAAGGGAAAAGATTCCACTGAAGAAACCTTGTATCAGACTGAAATCATAGAAATAAATACCCCCTTTGCAAGGCACTTTATAGTATCCAAAACACAACACCCGAGACAAGCCTCCTTTTACCCACCACCCATCCGTGTGCGTCAAGTCTGGCTTGCACTTTGTTGGTATGTTTCCTGTGTTTTGTTACTATTGAAGTGAAATCGATAAGGAAGTAGTGTCATAATATTGACCTTGAAATACGCTGAAATGAAAATGAAAATGACTCAGAGGATGAGATAAAACATCACTCTTTGTCTCCCTTGATGCTTTTTCCCTCATGCTTTGCTTCCAGCGTATTGCAAATAAATTGCTCTCATCTTTGTTCTTTGCAAGATTTTTTTTTTTTTAAAGATTTACTTACTTGAGAGAAAAAGAGAATGAGCAGGGGGGAGAGGCAGAGGGAGAGAGAAAATGTCAAGCCGACTCCCGCTCAGTGCAGAGTCCAACGCAAGGCTCAGTCTCACGACCCTGAGATCATGACCTGAGCTGAAATCAAGAGACGATCACTTAACTGACTGAGCCCCCCAGGAACCCCTGTTTTTTTCTCTTTTGCCTCCTAACCCAGTTCAAGCCACCTAGACTTTAAGATTGCTTAGAGAATCAGTTTTGCATTAAAATATTTTTGAATGCTATATGACTTCGCATAATGACATATCTTTAAGTTTAAAAACAGGTTCCATTTCTCTCTGACATGAAAAAACTTAAATATGTAGGGTAGACTGTCTTTATATTGTCAAGGGTATGAAAATATATCTGCATGATAACCGGTGAGAAAATGGTCTAACTTTGACTATACTTTTAATAAGATTATAGTTATCTTACAAATATATTTGAACAGTTATACCGTATCTAGGAACAGTATATTCTAATTACTGTCAGTCTATTCTACTTGATCCCTTGTTCATAATTACAAGATATCCACCTATCCAGGTTAACTTGCTCTGAAGAACATTCTGCCCGGCTAAGCTCACTTGACAAAGGATATACAATACAGACATTTTTTCTATTAAAAAAAGGACCTACGCGTGATTCCTTTAAATATCAAAATGTTCCAGAAAATTAAAAGGTCACTCAGTCCCCTGAACTGCCATGTCTGAATGATAGCATGGTGCTATCACCAGAGACCGTTGTGCTGGAGGAGTCTGGAAATGAACATTGCCCAGTCCCTCCCCACACTGCGCACGCCTAGAATTTTGCTGGCCTGAAAAGCCTTGTTACCTTTCACTCGGCGTTTACTGTGCTTCTTGGCTTTAAATTTGGACGTGTGGCTGGTGGTCTGGTCCAGGAGTAAGGTGATAACCAGGATGTAAATTACAAGTCCATTCTTTGCCATGGCTCTTGGTCAGGTCTGGTGCCCACTTTGCCAGCTCCTGTGAAGTAGCGGAGAGCAAGAAGGCTGCACAGCCTCATCTTGCCCTGGAGCGCCTGGGGCCAGCTTTATAAAAGTGCATGTGAAGGTTGGCTGGACTCCTGCTGACGAAATGTTTGGATTCCTCGACTGCCCACAGCATGAGGTGGCCCCTTGTTCTTGTGTCTCATGTTAGACTTTTCTTGTTTTTAATGTCCTTATTACATTCTCTACTTCACTTGCATTTTCAGAGTAAATCAGAGTTAACTAAGGGATTAAGGCCTTTGCCTGCTTTCTCTTCTTCTTTCTTAAAGTCCAGGAGGTTTGGAGTATCTCTGTGAAGACCCCAGTAGTTAAGCCCTGGATTTGGAGCTCTGAAGTTCACTTGATGATGTGGGAAATTTAGTCCCATTTTCAGGGCAAATAAATAAATAAAGCACACCCCCCCACAAAAGTAGGAAAGCTCCTGCCTGTATATGAGTATGTGTGTGTGTGTGTGTGTGTGTGATGCCAGAGTCTACACACACTCAAGGGTCTACACAGCTCAAGTGAAACTTGGGAATGGTTTGCTCACAGAGTATAACAGGGATGGCCAAAGGGATGGTCCATGATCAGACAGAAAGCTTTCTTTTAGGATTTTGTGAATTCATCAGGAGTTACATCTTTGGGAAACACACCTTAGAATGAAAAGAAAATTAAGGTGAATAATTATTTCTGTAAGAATTAACGTAAAATATCAACTCCAACTGTTTTGCAAATCCCCATCACCCAACACTTTCTGCCTTGAAATTACCCCAAACACTTAAAAAATACTTTGAAAGAAAATATAGAAATAACAGAAGAATAGAATGAAAGACTTAGTATAAATTATTCTTACCTTAACAATGGGCTTTTTAGGACAAGTACTAGGAACCAGATAGGCTTTTGTATCAAAAGCAAGAGACGTCCATTATCTTTCTTTTTCTTTTTGAGACAACATAAGATCAAGGGCTGATTGATTCCCTCTGGATCTTGGAAAACCACAGTCTATTCCGTCTTCATTGCCTTCCTGTGAGAGCCTCTTTGTACCCTACCCATGTGTTAACACTGAAACAAGAACACTGATAAAGAAAAGTCTGACATGATTTAGCAATGTAAATGTGAAATAAAGAATAAAGAGTTTACTTACAATGCAGACTCCTTGTACTGATTGGGCAGTCTGTGAGTAGGCACTTCACAGCGTCGTGGAAACAAGCTGAGCTGGGTTCAGGTTTGTATTTCTCCCATTTATCAGCTGTGTGCTGTTGGGCAAGTCACCGAACCTGTCTGGGCCTGTTCTCACACAGAGCTAGGAATGCCTCCTTCATAGGGCTGCTGGAAAGAGTAAATGAAGTGATAGCTATAAGACCTTAGCACAATGCCTGGTGCTTAATGATAGGAATAGTAACAGCATCTGTAACATCCTTACTGTTGATTATAATAGTATGTACGCTTCATTCCATGGAGCACCAGATCTGTTTATTCTTCACAGCAAGTCTATGGGATAAATATTCTCTCCATTTACAGATGATCGAATCTGAGCCTCAGGAAAGTTAAGCGTACTTGTACATCACTCAGATTCCAGTGGAACTGGAGTAGAATTTAAAATCTAGTTTTAAATGACCCTAGAAGACTTCTTTGACCTGGCCTGTGAAAAATGTGCTTTGATTCGAATAGGGAAAATGATCAGTGCTTTATAACTGATCTTACAATTGATTGAAAATACTTTTTGCCAGCTTCTCAAATCCTTTCCTCTGAGAAGAGATTCTGAGTTACAGAAGAGTCATGGAAAGCTAATGATTTCTCTTAGATCTTCGATCTGTGCTATCTTCTAACTAGATTTGTAAGAAAAGGCTGTCTTTTTTCTTCAAAATAAATCTATATTGTTTTAGGCTCTTTTTCCTTTCCAGGAAGCCTCTGACACTTTTTGGATTTGTTTTCTTTTAGCCAGATTCTAAAACCTATGCTTTCATTCCTTTAAATTAAAAGACTTTATTTTTTAGAAAAGTTTTAGATTTCTAGAAAACTTGAGCAGAAAGTATGGAGAGACTGCCTTTCCCCCTCCCAAGTTTCTCCTATTATTAGCATCCTGCAAAAAAACAAAAATCAAAGAAAAAATCTTGCATGTGTGTGGTGTATTTGTTATAATTGATGAATGAATATTGATCTATTACTCTCCATTAAAGCCTATAGTTTACATTAGGGTCCATTGTTTGTGTCGTACAGCTCCGTGCTTCTTAGCAAATAATTGTATAATGTCATGTATCCACCATTACAGCAGCATCCAGAAGAGTTTTGCTGAAGTCCATGCTTTTAGTTCTAATTAAATATTTGAAGATTCGTTTCTGTACTGTACTGCCTGGTACCCCTCAGGACTCTCTCCTAGCTGCTCTAACCTGTTACTCTCTCCCTAGATGATCTTCCTTCTTCTCATGGCTTCACAGTTCTGTCTGGGACTCTTTCACATTTATCTCTCAGTCTGTGACTCCTACTTCAGAGTCATAGTTCCAGTTGCCCGTGTGACCCTTCCAGGTGGATGTCTCAGAGACATTTCAAACTCATGATGGTTAAAGCAAAATTCTGGATTCTTTCCCCATTAACATCCCATGGATTTCAGAAAGCCTCTTCTTCCTGACTCTTCTCCAGTGCTGTTAATGTCCCCAACCCACTCAGGGGTTCATTTCTGAAAGCTAGGAATAATCTTTGTGCTTTGCCCGCCTGCCCCCACCCCAGACCTTTGTCTGCAACAGCCTTCCTTGCAGCCTTGTCAGCAGCAACCTTGTCAGTAGAAACGTGTGGTTTCTACTTCTATGTAGATGGTTCCTCTTTCTTGCCATCATCCATCCCATCTGAAGTCACCAAGAGCTCTTGTCCTGGTCCAGCTCAGCTCCTCTGCTCCTGCCCAGCTTAAGCGAATGCTCCACACATCACTAATGGGATCGTTACTCTCTGACTTAACACCTTCTAAATCTTTCCATTGTACATAAGATGAAACCTGGACTTCTTTCTTTGTTTTCTGAGGACCTTCTACCTGGTGAGACCCACCTGGTTCTTCCTGGTGACTTTTTCCCTTCATGGAGACCCTTTGCCAACTTTGAGTCATATTTAGTTCTGTCTTTCCATTCCCATTGTGCTTTTCCACATGATTTTTTTCTGTCTCTATACTGTCACCCCTTCCCAAACTCAGACTCTTGGCATGAGTTCAAATTAGTGCTGCTTTGTGTATGACCAACTCTTTCTTGTCCTCCAGATCTGAACTTGAAGATCACCTTCTCACACATCTTCTCTATCTGCATAATGTAGCAAGGTCCTTCTCTGTCTTCTCCAAGAAGGTACCCTGCTTCTTTTATAGCCTTTTCATGGTTTGGTACTCATTTTAAAAAAATGAATTGATGTACTTGATTCACTGGTTGGACGTCAGTCTCTCCGGCTGGGCTGTAAGCCCCCAGAGGGCAGGAGCCATGTTGGGTTAGCTGAGCTATGCATGCAGTACAGTGCTTGGCACAGTGTTTGCTCAATAACTATTAACTAATGTGTGGCAGGACGGTCTTGCTTTTGCTTCCCTCCTTTCCAACCTCTGCTCTGAGACTCCAGCAATAAGGCACTTGACCAAGGAAATAGCAACTCAGCTCTTGGAAGAGTAAAGAGACAGACTCATTTGGCGTAATAACACTTGACGTCATGCTAGGAAACCATCCTGCTCAGGACTGGGGAGAGGCTAACTGGCTTGCACGTGCTTGGCCCTGAGGCCAGACAAGGATAGAGCTGTCCTTTAACTTTTCTTCTTCCTGTTGAGATTCCAAGTCCAGTTCATCCTCCTTTAGGGAAAAAACCACTGGAAACTAAATGACTACAGGATTGGCTGGAAGAAGATGAGAGTAGGATCTGAGAATATTCTTAAGGTAAGGATTTTTGTCCCTGTCCCAAATGATGATTGACATCAGGCATGGCCTTCACCCCCAGAACCTCAGTAGGAATAGCAGGGTGGGGGGAAATGGTAATGATCTGGAAAAAAAATCACATCAAGAACTACACACACATCGAAGGTAATGGGGGCTGGTGGCCCTGAACCCACGCTGTCCTTGGGGAAGGCAGGCCTCACTCAGTTTTCTTGGAGGCTAAACAATCCATTTTTTGTGGAGTGGGATGATGTCACCAGCTTGTCTCCTGGGCTGGACCAGGGCTTCTGAAAGGACTATTTAAGAAGAAGTACACATTTATAGCCAGGGAATAGGAACCATAAAAATACTGCCTTTAGTTGGAAAGCGTTTTGGTTCTGATTTACAAACTGTCACCAGAGTTTCAATTTCCCTAATAAATTGCTGTTTACAACGCATCTCCTGACCACCCTGTGTAATTGATGTGTTTATTCCACGGTTGCTATTTTAAAGTTGCTCTAAGCTGCTGTTTTCCAGAGTGTCTAACCAACAAATCCATCGTCCCCCTTGCTGTTTGTCTGTTAATCTCCAAGGCTGAAATCTTTGAAGGCTGTGTTCAGAGATTCAAGTGCAGCATTTAGGGGAAGTGGTAGGGCTGAAGTTGGATATAGCAGAGATGAGGTTGAAATGCCTGAAGGAAAGATCAGTTATGGTGTCGGTGCAAGTTGTCTCATTTTTACTTAGGGCTATTACTTGTAGCTGTGACTGGCAAAGGTATCCGGGAGTTTGAAGAGACGGCTGAGGACAGGGTTTAGGAAGAGAGTTAAAAGCCCTGCTAAGATGGGGCAGCACTGAATATACATAAAGAGCAAGGACTCCAGTTAAAATTTCAGATGTTACTTTTTAGTTGTGTTATATGATCAGACTTTGCCGTTTCTCCTGACTGGGGTTTCCTGATCTGTCTTACGGAATGTTGAGAAACCTACAGCATGTGTCTAAAATGCAAGCCACACCTTAGCGTAGGCTTTCCTAAAGACCCATCACATAGATGTATGAGGCTTCATGTCTCCGTAAGGTCCTCACACTCATCCT